AAACTACGGGGAACCATGCAAAAAACGCATCTTCGCACGGGCAGCCCGTGCATTGGCCAATTTTTTATTTCCTTACAACCTTTCATAAACATATGCCAACTAACATTAAAATTAAAATAGCCATCTCCAAAGAAAAACTAAATTGAAAACGTTTTTACTTTTTCGTTGTTCAGTAGAAGATGCCCATTAGCACGTATACTTCGAGGCCACAACTCAGGCTGATTTTTCCACAACGCAACGTGATTGAATAAATAATAGGTGAGATGATTTTGCAGTAAATCCTTGCCCGATGCACGCATATCTACTGGATACCTTCAAAATTATTTGGTTCAAATGACACAAAACACGTTTTACGTAAATTTCTTAGTCATTTTATGCAATACGCCTCTCGGAAGGCTTTTTTTCTCGAGAAAAAAGCAAACTGTTTTGAGCAATGACTGACTGAAGGTGCTGTCCAGTCACATCAATCTGGTAACCACCATACGTTCATGTTCAAGCAGGCAACATTCAAATCTTACTAGTGCCAATTAGTGCCAGAAAGTGAAAAAATTTTCGAAAATGAACGGCTCACCAGTAGAGGAATTCATTTTTTAAAAGTGCTAGCTTGGACTCCGGCACGGGCATTGTGTCGCTATTATAGGGCTTATTCAGAAACACATAATCCCAGCAATCATCCACCATGTCCGATGCTCTGAAATTACAGAACATTACGTCAGGATGCCGAAGTAGAAGTGTTCCCGGGAGGAAAAGCGCAAATTTCCAACGAACTTGATTCCAGCCGGACCAACAACGCTCCCGTCGATCACACCTCCTTGAAGCAGATGTGCAACACAATAATAGGCATTGTATATCGTTGAATCGGAAAGTGATTCGATCAGATACTGACGATCCCATGGCAATCTTGAACCCAAGCCGTAGGATCGAGAACACGCATGTTCGTGCAGCCAATCAATAGTGGCATCCAAGTTTCGACGGACCTAGTAGTAAAAACTCCACTGATAACAGCAACTGACAGACATAAATGCCTACTAGTGGAAATGACTGATAAACAGAAATTTGCGAAGTTGATCTCACTTCTTCCGTGTAGGTATTCAACTGAGCCAATGCCTTTTTCGTTTCTTTTTTCCACTGTTCGTCACCATAATTCAGATACCTGAATGAAAAAACAAATAATATGCAACAAATGAATAAAAAACCGAACAAATGATACCCTCCAACCCTTAAAACTTAAAGGTAAGAAATGCATACGACTTAATGGACCGAAACATTTCTTATCTAATTTATTACTTCTTTTCACATCTTTCCCTTTTTCACTCTTTTTTGACCTTTTCTATCATCCACTTCTACATTTTTCGCCGAAATTTTCACTTAACCTTAAAGAATTCTGCTGCTCCGAGTTCCATTTGACTATACGGCAGTCACTTCGGCAGGTATTGTTCAGCCTACCAACGGCCGTAAGTAACCACTCGACAATTCTACCCTCCTCTTTGGCCCTAATTAAACCGTCCAATTTTGGTTCGGCCTTCTGTGGGCCCTCTAATACAGTGTTTTGAACTATGATGCTTTAGAAAGACAATAACCGCAAAATCCAAGTACAAATATTCTTACCCTAATAAAACCTAGACAGCACTAAATCAGCCCTTTTCCCCCCCCCCC